AGGATTTGGTTCATGCATTATACAACAACAAAATGTTTCGATATTTGTCCGTCAAAGCTTGTACGTACATCAGCAACTCAACAAACCGAATATTTTTGTTCAGTGCTTCAATGGCTTTCATTTCTTCCTCAGTCAGTGAAAAATCAAATATCTGAAAAAAATAATTTGCTTCTGGTTAAATTCATCCATCCATTCATTCATTCATTCATTCATTCAACTGTTTAACCCTTACATACTGTATATATTTCATGTCTTTGCATTATGATTGTAGTCAGTTTGACACATGCCAGGATTCCTAAGTGTCTACAACAAAGTCTGAACTACAGATCTATTTAGAGTGTATAAATAGTCTAGCTGACATTAATGGAGGATTAATTTTTAATTAATGTTTCAAAGAGCAGGGATATAAATAAATATTATGCACAATCTCGTGCCCTGATTTACTTTAGACATGAAAATAATAGCGATAACGATTTCATGAGATTTTATTAAAGGTGAAAATGGCAAAACCATTCTGGAACTGGTTGGATTTATTGCATAACCATGTATAATCACTACAAACATTAAAGGCTGTCCTCATGTCTTTGTGAATTCAATATTATTTTAAACTTAGAGTAAAAAACTTGCTTATTGCAAAATAGTCTGAGCATTCAAAGCATTGCCTGTGCAGCATTTGCACGTTTCTTACATTTACTGAAATGGCAGATCAGGTGACTTTATAATCTTATGACCTCTAATCCCTCTTTTGATCCCTGTTTCAATCTCTTTTTAATTTCACTTAGCTCAGACAAAATGGGTCCTAATTAGTTTATTGTTCGATTATTTTCTTACATAATGCTTACTTTTGTTTACAGGTGCAAAGCACAAGCACCAGTCAGTGTAGGCTAATAATATAATTACACTTATAACTAAACTTGTTGCAAAACCTACGGATATTTGTGTTTGGTGGATTATTTGTTTGTTGTAACAATGCTTCTTGGCAATAAATCTCACACTGTTGCAAGGCCTGTTTATTTCCCCTTGAATGTGCCACATGTGTAAGGAAAATGCATTTGGGGCTTAAACAGCAGAGTTGAGGATGTGGGCTGCGCATCAGCCTACAAAAACTTGTAGTACCTGCTCAAAAGTATAACATTTTAAAATAGTTTTAATTTTGGGTCATTTTAGGGAACATCATCAAATTTCAGGCCAGAAAGGTGGCATTTTGGGTATATTTACTGTTCTCCAATGTCAAAATGGTCAAATATAACCAAAAATGCATGTAAGAGTTAAAACCGGGCAGCAATGGTACCATAACTTTGACTTTACGTGCACATAGAGTTAAAAATGTTGGTACAGTACCTGGAAGTTATGTTTGATCCGCTCAGGGTTGAAGCTCTTTGGGATCACTACAACTCCTCTCTGTATGTTGAAGCGCAGGGCCACCTGGGCACTACTTTTGTTGTATTTTTTCCCAATGGATACAAGCACCTCATCGTCCAGCAGAGGAGGACATTTCAAATTCACCCTATAAAAGAGACACAGTTAAATACGCACCATGTCATTTACCAAATGAATTCTGCTTAGGGTCACGTTGAGGGTTTGGTAACAACAATAATTTGTTTTTATTTTTGCAGTCTCGCATTAATGCAGTAACCTCACACCAGCCTACATAAGTGTATATATTTTCAAACCTACCAAGATGCATCTCTGGAGGAGCCAATTGGGCAATAGCCAACAATCACGATGTCATTGTGACGACAGTACTCCAGAAGTTTTGGTTGTGTGAAATATGGGTGGCATTCGACCTAAAGGTAAATAAGAAGAAGGGAAAAAGATGACAGGGCTCAGTCTTACAAGTAGGAAGGAAACTGGATGGGAATCAAAAGTAAAATCTATTCCATTTAATCTAGATTAATGAAAGAAAATGTATTTCAGCATAGTGTTTGACTATTTTTTGGCAGAGAGTCTATTTTAGAAATGCCTTCATATTAAAAACCCAGAATACTAATGTATGCCGTACAGTACTTTTTTACTTTGTAAACTACCCTCATTGAGATGTCATTAGGGGTCAGGAAACAAACTGGGATCACCTGGTTGGATACGGGTTTGTGTTTGAGACCAGGTTTATTCAGAAGCAGCTCCAGCTGCCTGCGATTGAAGTTGGAGACTCCCAGGGACTTAACCAGTCCAGCATCTTTGCAAGCCTCTAAAGCCTGACAGAAGAAAATATTAATATCTTATCAAAGATTGATAGTAGTAATCTTTACAGGCTAACTGAGATAGCCAAGAAAAATACAAGACACAAGGAAAAAAAACTGTTTATGACACTGTCCTTGAGAGTAATGTGCTGCAGAAAAAAACACTCTGACCAGTATTAACATGTAAGAACACTTGAATAAGATAAAACAATGCCTACCTAATATTTTATTAGATGCATGCAGTACAAATGCAAGTACAAAAGTCGTGAGCCATCTCCCTTTTAAAGAAATATTTTGCAAAATGGAAAATAGGTGCAGACTAACCAAAATATAAAATTATACATATAACAAAATAGAGTTTTTAGAATTCTAACAAGCTTGAAAGTTTATTAGACATGCCCAATTTTATTCTTTAACACAGTCTGCAACTCCTTTAAGTAGTCTTCAAGAATAGTTCTCCAGGCTGCTAGAAGGATATTCAAAGCTCTTCTTTCAGTGTTGACTGCATTTTGTTCCATTCTGTCAAGATGATCCAACACTGCTTCAATAACATTGAGATCTGGGGTCACGGAAGGCCAATCAATGAGTGATAACCATTCGGTTCTACATTCCACTTTTTGACAGAATCACCGACACCACTGGCCGAAATGCAGAAATGAAACCCACCCAATGACTTAAGAATAATAGCTTGGAGAACTGGTTCTCAAGACCTCTTAAATATCACATGGAAGTCTGGCTCCTAAAATCAAAGTATAAAGAACTTAGAGGTGGCTCAAGAGCTCAATCGTTAGATTTTATTTGTAGTGACGGCTTTATGATGTCGCTACAAAGGTTGTGTTAAGTTCTGCTCGTTGATTTTAATATTTTCTGCCTATGATAACATAACTACATGAAGAATGAAATCCTTGATGTGCTGATCGGGATTCATTCATTCAAGCCCTGCAATGAAGTCATGCTTAGCTTGACATGTGGAGGAAAAGCATATTCTCATGCAAGCTGCTAATACAAATGTAAAAAAGTATTTAAATTTACATAACAAAACAACAGATTTTTAATTTCATAGTGATATTATATTAGAGATGAGCAGTAGACATGCAAAGACTTTACATAGTATGACCATTGTTTTAATAGAGCTCACCTCCCATGTTGCACAGAGATCTGTGTGGTGGTAGATGTAGTTTCCATCTTGGTCCTTTGGATAAAAGGCCTTTCCAGGCTAAAATATATGCATAATTAAATACTTTGCATTAAAAGTGGTTATTTAAGCATATAATTTATAGTGACCTAAGGTGACACAATGTGTTCATGGTCAAAACGCTTAAACAAAGAAACATACTGATTCCAGGTACCCAATCTTAACCAAACACCTGTCTACATAATCTTATCTGATTCTAATGTGTGTAATGTGGCAACGGCCAGATTTGAAGTATTTGCTATGCAGCTCTTGTGTTTGAACCCCTATTATCTAATTTTGCATAAATAATTAAAAATACTTTATTGTAAAAATTGGTAAAATTATTTTTTAGAAACCTTGAAGGCCATTGGAAGCTCAATGATGTAGAGATCCACATAGTCCAGTTTTAAGGCTTTCAATGTCTTCTCTAAGGCTGGTCTCACCAACTCTGGTGGATGGAAGGTATTCCAGAGCTGAGAAAAATAACATTGCTAAATTTAAAAAACAATTTAAACAACCTGAACATCCAGGCAACAGACCATTGCAATAACATGATTAGTTCTTATAGGTTTATAGGAATGAAAGTTGATTAAACAAAAGCTAACAAATATTACCTTTCCGCAGTAAAAGATGTCCTCTCTTCTAACGGTTCCATCAGCTATCTTCTCCCTAATGGCTTGACCCACTTCATGCTCATTGAAATATACCAACGCCCCATCAAAGTGCCTGTAGCCCACATCTATGGCCAGCTTGACACAGTCCAATGCAGTGCCTCTGGGTGTCTTTAAAAAAATTCACAGAAAATATACATTTTATTTGATTTTTTTAAGCTACAGCCACAGTGTGTACTTCTCAGTGAAACTCAAATCACTAAAGGTAAACAAGCCTCGCATAAACGGGGAATCAAACACAGCAATCTAAATCTAGAAATACAGAGACTACGTGATATTTTCCTCACCGTTTGAGGGTCCCCATAGGTGCCCAGTCCCAGGAGTGGAATACTGTTACCATCACTCAAAGGGATTCTGTGGCTTTCCGCTGTTAGATTCATGTTTGTGTCCAAAATGTGGACAATTGAACTGCAGTGCACTTCTCTCAAGGCTAACCCATAGATTGGCCATGAACCTTGAACCATGAAGACATTATCTTCCACTCAATTGCGCAAGTGACTTTGATCTGAACCAGAGCAGTGTGTCCATTTTTAAAACAGTTCTTCACTAGCTTTTCAGAATGCCATTTAACTTGAGAACAAAAACACTCTTATAATCATAATCGAATGTGAATATGACACCAGCACTTTGTGAGTATCTTTTCAGCAAACAGTGTTACAACGTTACAAAAAAATGTCCATAGGCCTGGCTGAAGCCTGAAGCCAACAAAACCTAATACATTTGAATTTCACACAGCCTATCATAAAGTGCCATAAGTAAATAACGTCACCAGAAGCATAACACAGTATTACTGTACTGAACTGAACCCTGTGTAAAGTTTCAGAATAACAAGAATCAGGCAAACTCTTGCTGCTCGGTGGACTTTGTCCTCCTGACAGCACAGCACACAGCAGCCAGCGGCTCTCATATCAAGATTTTGACCCCGCCCCACTCTTACCTCAACGAGCGCGTGCGCTCTAATTTGACCAACAACATCTGGGGCACACGAGCATGCGACACAGGTACCCTTTTTTTTCTTTAGTGCTTCCTGTTTGCTGCAACAGTCCAAAAATTATTTTCCCCAAAATATCACACGTAGACAATAATACCCTCGACGCTTACAAATGCTGAACTGATAGAGAGCGCTCGGAGGACATCGCAGGTACGAAGAAGGCGCTCTCTTCGGCTAGAGAGCAATGAGATATAGCCTACGCTTCAGCCTACCCTCCCTGTACGTGCCGTTGAATCAGAGTAAACTAGACTTGGAGAACAGAAACTGTTTCCGATGGATGCGATGGAAAAACAGGAGTCGGGACATACTGCTGTCCTGTCAGTCGAGAACGAAGCAGAGAGCACGCGAGAGGAGCGGTCCGGTGCACTCGACCAACATGACCTGGACACGTGCCCCGTTTGTCATCTAAGCTTCCATAGCAAGGAGCCCAAACTTCTGCCGTGCCTGCACACTTTCTGCGAGAGGTGCTTGCCTTTACCGTCGAGGAATCTGGACGTGACGGAACCGTCCGTCTCCCAGAGCGACGACGGCGCGACCAAACCACGTGAGTCACTTTGTTTACAAACACAGATCAAGGACCGATTAATGGCTGTCAACCTTTTCTACAACCAGAGCAGCTGCACGCACAACTGCATACATTTTACAAATGCTTGTAGCTACCTCTAACCATAATCACCTAAATGTCTAAATGTCATAAAAAATATAATCTGATGGTAAATAATACCAGAAATGTACAGTTTTACTGATTTACACCAACACCTATGCTCCTGCTTGATTCCAGTAAACGTGATCCGCTGTCCGGTGTGCAGGCAGGAATGTATGGCGGCAGATGTGGTGGATAATATGTTCGTGAAGGAGTCATTCGAGGCTCCCAGCAGCACGGTGGAGAGAGCAGTCCAGGTTGGTAACAAATGAATTAATATCAATTTGGGGACAGGCTGGGTTTTTGAGGGTAATTATCAAAATATAACTACGTAAGTTTTACTTGTATTTTTTATTTGTCATTGGCCATGCAGAAAAAAACATTGCTCTTGTAAGAACCAGAATAAGGCACTAGATGATTTCCATTTGCAGTGATTTAATGGGCAGGTGCACACTATATTAAAGGAGATATCTGTATAAAAACAAAGCTACCTTGTCTTCTGTTGGTTTGTAGCTCTGAAATCTGGGCAGCAGAAGCAATGCTTGTCAGTAGAAACTTCACTGATATCAACTTAGCAGATAAGGGTCATCATTGCATTCCCTTGATTGAACAAGAAATGGTAAAACATGTGCCGAGCCATCATCTCCACGTCATGTTTCTAAATATTTATTAACTTTTGATGCTTGACTCCTCTTTCTATAGCTCTGTATGACCTGCAATGACAACACAGAAGCTGCTGGGTTTTGTGTTGAGTGTGTGGAGTACTTGTGTACCACCTGTGTGGAGGCCCACCAAAGAGTCAAATTCACCAAAGACCATATGATCAGACAGAAGTCAGAAGTATCACAAGGTACTCAAACCTACCTGCTCATTTAGCTGTTTTAAAAAAATTAAATGCCTGTGCTGACGTATCATGTGATTCTTGCTACCGCAATATTTTAATGGGCAAAATGATAAGTATACATCAGTATGCACTGCATGCTTTTTATACTGTAAGAATTAGTTTAAAAATAACTATGGTGAGCCTTTTGCTGTTTTCCAGACGTTTGTGTTGTGTCGAATCAGAGGCCGATGTTCTGTCATATCCACAAACAAGAGCCACTGAAACTCTTTTGTGAGACATGTGACCTGCTTACCTGTCGGGACTGCCAACTCACCAAGCATAAAGACCACAGGTACCGCATTGTTTCAGTAATATTGATTGACAGAAGTGGGAATCACCAGGCACCCCTCGAAATGATATCACAATACTTCACTCACAATACATTATTATTGCAATTTTTTTCACCACTGTTCACGGATTGATTTGATTGATACTGTGATCTCTCCATGTGATGCATTTGAGGCAGAGAAAAAAATTCACTGAGAGATTAAGTTACACCCCCACCCCCCAGTTCATTATGCATATTATGCATATTAACCTGTCTGTATTAACTCACTAATGTTTTTGAATTAGTTATCAGTTCCTTGAAGATGCTTATAAAAACCACAAAGAGCACATGGAGCATATGACTCATCAGTTACAGGAGAAAAAGAAACTGATAGAAGAGGTATCAGACTCCATAAATAGTGGGTATGTATTTCATTTTTCCTTAAAGATGTCTAGTTAAAAAAAAGTCACTTCTTCCATATTAATAAATGTATATTTTGTTCTTAGTCACACTTTAAATGTATGTTTTTCAGACTTCTTCTGGTGGAACAGAACCGTACTTCTGTATGTGATGAAATAAAGAAATCTGTTAGCAGTTTAATCCTCGCGATAAACAAAAAGGGCAAAATTCTACTTGATCAACTTGAGGTATGACAAAGACGATTACATGCAGCAAAACAATACTGTGTAGTAAAACTATCATGGACTAGTTTTACTCTGTAGTCCTGTAGCTTGCTGTGGTGTTGTTTCCAGAAGAATGTTATTTATATGGTGAGTTTCGTGTGGCCTCGAGGCTCAGAGTGCCGCCACTCAAGCTGCTTTAACACTGCACTCCTCTTTTTCGTTTTCTTTTTTTGCAGGCTGTTACAAAAGATCATGAGAGTCTCTTGCGTAAACAACAGGAAGACATTGGCTATCTCTCCCAACACCTGGATCATGTCATCGACTTCATCAAATGGGCCACAGCCAAGAATGGGGGCACGGCCCTCTTGTACTGTAAACGTTTGGTGAGGCCTCTTTAATCAATTAGCCATAAAGCAGTATCTTGTCACAGTCTTGTTTTCCTGATCTCAGGTCGTCTTTAAGCCTAGTATGTCTCGGATGTGATGAAGCGCAAGCATATGGCTTTTGCAGCATGCATGTTCCTCCTCTGAAAATGACTGATAACATTCCTTCTGTTTGCAGATTCTGTTTCAGATCGAAAACCTCCTTCAGGCAAAATGCAGTGCTTCATTCGTACCGCAGAGCACCATACGCTTCCAGTGCCGAGCCTCTTACTGGGCCTTAAATGTTGATTTGGGTAAGAGATTAACAAATGATGTGATCCACAGCCCTGAGAATGAATGGATTATTTGTTTTCTGCTCCAGTAAACTTGTATACCTTGAAATTTTATTTCAATTTTACTTAATAATTTTAGGGGCATTCTTCTTCCATAAGATTGTATCTGTGGTGGTGATCTAAGTGAGACTTGCACAGTATTAATAAACAGGCATGAGGAGAGTCAGATGGTCACGGGGAGTTAGCTAGAGGCCAGTAAAACTTGGATGACAAATCCTATTATTTATTAATGCATTTGCACTTCTCTCTCACACAATGTCAGTTTTACTCTGTTTTGAACTACCTTCATTTTTACTGTTAATTGTTTTGTTTTTTTATCACTGTTGTAAATATATAAATTCCTGGACTATCTCACACTATAAGCCTCCTTACTAGGCACCTGTGGCATTTTATTTAATTGTGTTGTTTACATGGTATGTACTGTACTGTTTTTACTCTTCATCATGCTGCTGTAACACACAAATTTCCCTTGTGGGATCAATAACGTATCTATCTATCTAAATGAAGGATTCATTGAGAGCAGAGCTCAGCATTAAATGAAAATCCTTGTCTAGCTGTTTATTAGGGGTGCAACGATATTCGTATCGATATTGAACCGTTCGATACAGTGCTTTCGGTTC